TTCAGTGTCCATCTCAGCCATTTATACAATAACTCCGAGTTTCTGTCAATTTCCCTTTCTATTTGGTCTTCCAATTCTTGCACTCTTTCAAGAGCGGCTGTTTTGGTTTCGGAATCTTCCATTAAAGCAGCCACGTCAAAAACATTATCTAAATAGGCCGATATTTGAACTTTCAGCTCTCCGATTCGGGGTGAGTCGAAGCTTTTCAAGATACTTGTCGAGACCCAAAGCCGTGAATTCGTACTGCAAGTGTACTCGATAGTTCATGTCCTCAACAGAATGAACCACTATATTCATAAATTGCATACACGCAACCATGAAGTCAATATTAAACACATCATAGTTCATAAAGTACTCCATGAGAGTTTGAAATCGATGAGTTTCGTTGCAGACATTTTTGAAGTTGTCGAAAGCCGACAATATAATCTCATGTCCTCCCTTGACCAAACAAATTGCAGCTAGAAGCTCCAGTACCAACGCCTTCGTGCGCAACGACTTATGTATCAAGCTAAGCGCTATGCAGTTAATTGCTTCGCGGTGTTGAATAACCATATAAATCCGTATTTGTTATTCATTATTGCACGTAAACACATTATACAGACGTGTATGTCGTCGGTTGATGCACCCATATTTAATTTGGCAATGTGGCGTGAACGCCTCTTGATGCTGGGGCTGTCAAGAGCGTCCAGTATCGATGGCCGCAAAATGCTATTTGTGATTACATTTAAAGCGGATGTATTCGAATTTTGGTACCTCGATGATTCCAGAAGGTTGACACTGCTCACACCACCAAAATTTGACGCATTGCTTGCACCACTCAAGGACATAACTCCCATTGCCTCGGAAGTATTGTTACCCAAACCACTATTGTTCAAATCAAATGTTCTTCGGACTCATTAAACGAGCCATGGACTCTCTGCTCCTGTCGCATCATTTGAAGGCGGAAACTGAGGTAATCAACAAGGGCATCGAGCCCTTTGTTTGTATCGTCCAGAAATTCTTTCACCCCTCTATATGGTTGGTGCGCAAGGAAATTTCTAAATCGCGTAACACCTGTGTAGACGTCGATTCGCCAACCATTTTTCGTTTCTGACAGAAAAAAAAATAAAATAAAGCTGTAAGTAGGCATATTTTAATCACAACAAAATCGTGGTTCCACGAAATGTTGTCACGATACCAATTTATTTTATTGTTAAACCATGAAAAACATGTGCAAATTATTAAGCAAAGCAAGAGAAATGGGGAGAAATAGAGAATCACAATTAGAAAGAGAAATGGAAAGGTGTTAATATCCCACCATGTCAACAAATGATTCAACTTTATATTTAAAGAGTGACTACTTACCCGATGACTACGCGAAGCTTTCGGATCCAAATATGTTCGGAGCTTGTTGAGATAGTGAGATGGCGGATCCTTGGCTTGAACCATCTCCTGAAATAACATATTATATTTCATTTAGTAACGCACTACATTAATCCAATAAAACTTGCCTGATCACAAATTATGTCCCATTTTCTTTCATCGTCGTAATTCTTTAGGAGCTTTGCTTTATCTGGAGGTAAATCCATCGAAGCCTAAATAAAAAAGAAAACTGGTATTTAATAACTTGTGTAGTCAGTTTAGCAGCAAACATTTTTTAAAAACTATTAAAGGAAAAGGTTCTAACCGGAGCAATGTTTTACCACAACGAAAACTACAATAATCCACCTTTTGCCACCGTTATTTACATCGTGCTACCCAAAATCGGATAAACTCACATACTTAGGAAATTTTTTGCAGCTTTTCAATAATGACCTTTTCTGATTTCTGTCGTTTTCAATGGTCAAGTGTCAATAACCTATATGCTCCCTCGTATTATAATGCGTAATACTCATACATGTAATTAAAAAAGTTGTGACCATGTCAATTAGGCGAAATCAATTCTAGCGATTCTAATGTAAATTTACTCAAACTTAATTTCATTCGAAGAATTTTTGGTGTGTGAATTTAATACCATCGATCGACCTGACAAAACCTGGAACTATTTTTTTTCTATTTCCAGGCACCATGCATTCGGAACATTGAATAGAACACCTAACCCATTTTCATCTTTTTTGCAGTTCAAATTCATCGAGAATTGCACATCATGATTGGGAGGTATATCTGTTAGTACGCTTATATTCAAATACGTATGAATGAATACATTTACACTAGCAGCAACAACAATCAATCAAGAAACTGGTTTGTCTAAGCTAAGTGTATTATTTCTCAGTCAATTGATGAACAAATGAGTCAGAACATTAATTGGCATTAGGTTGGTTTTAATAAAAAAATATGAAGCGTGTTCGGTCGACACGCTGAGGCGTGCTTTTGAATTAAAATACCTATTATTCAAACCCATATAAACTTCAATAACAGCTCGCGAGAATCGTCATTGCGTT